CACATCGATAGTCGATTCACGGCTCATAGGCATCGAGATGGCGAGGCGTTAGTTGGCGGCAGGCTACCGCCATGACCGCGCGATCGGGACCTTGGCTGATGGCCGTGAGAAAACGAGGCCATGTTACATACAGACGACTTCGCACCGCTGCTGACCTGTGGGTAATTGCACTCGATTGCGTGACCGAACATGTCCGTTGCCCGCCTACTATGTTGAGTCGCGTACCGCTCATGTGCACGGGAACTCTTGCCCGGTGCTACCCGACGAACCAACCCACATCTTCCTCTTGAGCAACCTGACCGCATGTCTCAATTATTTCAGGTCAGAAACGCCTCGGTGACGGTACTGTGCAACTCCCACTCTCCGTGCCCTGCCCGGAAACCCAGTTACAGGTCGTCTTGTGGACCGCGCGCGACCGATGCTGCAAGTCATCCTTTGCTCACTACCCCCGGGAGGCGTCCTGGACCCTTGCCTTTGCCTCGACCAGACTTGCCCCCCATCGAGCTTGAGTTCCAGCCGCTCATGCCTTGGGGCCCGCCACCACCAGGCGTGAACTGCGAACCGCTCTCGTCCGACTTGAAACCTTCGCCCTCGTTCAGCACCGTCTGCCATAAGGCTCCGATGGCGCTGCTCCACTCCTTCATCGCTTGCACCCTGTCCATGTCTGTGCTACTCTCAATCTCCACCGTTCCGTTCTGTTGGTTGATCTTGCCGCGCAACCGCTTGTCAACAATCAAGAAGCCTACGATTTCCTGCACTTCGGCAAGTGAGATCTTGAGCTGCTTCGAGATAAAGGCTAGTGTGAAGCGGGTGTAGGGTGCGACAAGCTTGACGACCGCCTTGGTGCGCACATTACGCGTAACTTCGTCAATGTTCTCGGCGATGAACGGATCTTGCAGCAAATCCTGGTTGTTCTGCAGGATCTTCTCGTAGCCGTGAATGTCTTCTAGCTGATAGGCGTTGACTAGATCCGTCATAGTGGAGATGCGCGGGTCATTCTGGTAGGGCTTGGTCTCCTGCGAATCAAACGGATTGATGTCTGAACCCGATAGCATGGTCGCGAGAACCAGGTACTTCAAGACCTGTATTCGTTGAAGCGATCCAGCCTCATCGTAGTTTTTGAAACTCTCAAAGAAGTCACTCTGCGCGCCTTTCCAGTTCTCTGCAATCCGTTAGTACCGAACCGGTATCTAGGGCACGGGCTACTTGCCTTCGCTCATGTGCATCTTGCCACCACATTCACGGATGATGCCCATAATCTTGGGATGCGGAACTGCGGACTTGACCTTGAGCGCTCGCTGGTATAGTGCCTGTCTTAATGTTAGAGATAATGCAGGTTAATCTCAATGCAGATGGGCCTTACCTTTAGCCGCTTGTTGTTCCTGGTCTCGGCATACATGAGAATTTCCAACGAGTAGACTTCCAATGAATATGTGCCTTTGCTCGGGTCATCTGTTCCATCCTCCCTCTGACAGGCCTTGTGTAACTCCCGGAGCTTCTCCGTAAGCTGACGGTAGTCTTTCCTATCCAACCACAGCCTCGCCAGCTTAATGTTTGTCTTTAGCCAGAGCCGCTCGTTGTTGGTGCTCTGGAAGATGTCGAGGGTCAGGGCGTAAAAGTTCTCCATGCAGCGATATGCGTCGGCGTCTTCTGCGGCCTTTTCTATAAAGTCGAGCATGTTGTTGATGGACTTTTCGGAGTAGTTACGCGTGACGGCCGACTTGACGTATGTAAGAAGCTCCTTGTAGTGCTCGACAGCCTGTACGTGTCAGCTAGAGGTCTTGCTCGGGATGGCAGTATCTACCTTGTCGTAGCGGGCAAGCTTGAACTCGAGCTTGATTGCCTGCTTCAGCCCTTTGAAGCCCCTATGCGTTCGTCAGCATACAATCCTTCCCCCAAATCTGCGTATTTCCTACCAGTCCGACTTCTCTTCTTCTAGCGCGGGCATCCCCAGGAATTCGTCTATGGCTGCCTCGGGGTCGTCGGCCTTTAGCTGCTTCGCATTGTAGTATTTGTTCTCGATGTCGACGTCGCCGCTCTGCTCGTCATCGTCGTCCTCGTACTCGAAGTCGTACCTACAGCTTGTCAGAAGAGGTATTGCCTGCATGTCATGGCGACTTACTCCTCCTCGCCGGAGTCTTGCATGAAGTCGTCATCGTCAGACATGGTTGTGGCGTGGGTGATGGTTTAGTTGGACCGCAGTCGTATTCTCAAGTTGGAGTGATACGCGTGCGTTGTGCTATTAATTCGGTGGATAGAGGTGTTTGCGGTGTGGAGTTGTCTGGAGCTCTCGCGACTTGTTTGCCTACGTGAGGCGGCGGTAGGTGCCTGCGGAAGAGCCCCACTTTCGCGGGGCTAAGCTCCCAGACGCAGCCAGCTGCAGTATCCTTGCCATGCATCGCAACATTCACTCCATTCTCTCTGAAGGAATCTATCAGGCGGTCTTGAGGCTGCGCGTTCGCAATCCCTATCAACATTGCACGAGTACGTCATTACAATTTGTGCCTGCGATCAATTTGGTTCCTACAGCAATCGGCTCCAGCTCCAAGCCATTTCCCGGCTCCTCCATCTCATCTCCCGGCGCACTGACGCAATGATGAATCTAACACTCCGACGTTTGAGTAAATCTCCGGTTGTGAACATGAACAGTTATGAAGCCTCAAAGTCGCACAGAGTCTGGACGAGGCTGTGCAATATTCGAGCATAGTGGCGTGCAGTAGGCCTGGGACTGAGGCATTAGACAGCATATGCTAAGTTCGCGACCTTCTTTTTTCGGTCCGGCTTCCAGCTGTGGAGAAGGCTCAGACCCCGGGCATTCTTATCCCAGAATCCCAGATCCCTTCTCAACCACTCGCCGTCACTAGCAGATCCCTTAACTCGGTTCACGGTCCTGGCCGTCATGTTAGTCTCATCGATCAATTCTTCCTTGCTGCCTGTGCACCGAGGTTCTGTCGCTGGCACTTGCTCGCGGCCGTTTCCCCAGGAACACTAACAAGTTTGACAGCTCTCTAAGATGACTTTGGGCGAATAATTGTTTGGCTCAGCCGGCAAACACATCGCCCCGCGTCCGTGGTGCTTGCTAAATGGATAGCGTCAAAGCCGTGGAGTGGTCGCGGAGGTGAGCAGTGCCAATCGACCTTTCGGGCTTAGTCTTAGCGACGTGTGGATCTTCAACTCCATCCATCCATCGCTTGCATCTCCAGCCCAGCATCTGGATCCCCCCCGGCTTCCCTCTTACCTCACACATCCTTATCATCATCCGTTACCAGTCTCCAGTGCGACTCTCGCTCTCGTCCTCACCACATCCGCTGCCACGACCGCGACCGTCGTCCTTTGTTGCACCAACGCGCGCGCGCCTCTCGTCCCTGACCCGACGACACGACCCGATCGCCGACTCTCCTTCCGACCTTCACGATGCCCATGTGCGGTGGAACAAAGTCTGTGCAGCGCAAGCTGGTGCTTCTGTACGTCTGCTATATGCGGGGATGCCTCTTTGTTTGGGCGACCGAGGCGTGATGCGACAGAACAAGCTAACGTACTTCCAGCGGTGACGGTGCATGCGGCAAGACCTCATTACTTAATGTCTTCACAAGAGGGTATGTAACATCGCTATCCTGCCATCTCCGCAGTTTGCTGACTTTGTGGTAGCTACTTTCCAACAGTATAGTGAGTATTGTACCTGGTATTGAGATACGAATGAGGCTAATGAAGCCCTCTCAGCGAGCCCACAGTATTCGGTAAGGGCGCGCCTCACACTATCTATTCGTGTCGCTAACAATTACTACAGAGAACTATGTACACGGTTTGTGCGCCTATCTGCAAGTTCTACAAACACGATTGACACGGTGCGACAGACATCTACATCGACAACACACACGTTGAGCTCAGCTTATGGGACACCGCCGGGCAAGAGGAATTTGATAGGCTACGATCATTGAGCTACGATGACACGCACGCGATCATGCTCTGCTTTTCGGTACGCTCATCCGACATTATGCTGTTCAACTCGCAACTCACACGGCACAGGTCGACTCACCGGACTCGCTCGAGAACGTAGAAACGAAATGGGTCGGCGAAATAGCAGAGAACTGCCCCGGCGTTAAGCTCGTTCTAGTGGCACTCAAGTGTGACCTGCGGAAGAAGGAGGACGACGACGCCGACGACCAGCAACCTGAGAAGCCATGCATCGACTACAACGAGGGTCTGCGCGTAGCGGAGAAGATCAAGGCACTGCGGTACCTGGGTAAGCTAAGCCACGTCTCGGAACCATGGCAGATGTCTAACGGGTGTAGAATGTTCCGCTATGAAGAATAGAGGTGTGAACGAAGCGTTTACTGAAGCCGCCCGCGTCGCTCTGCAAGTCAAGACCAGCAAAGACAAGAGCGGCGGTTGCACAATCCTCTAGACCAACACAACACTCCCGCCATTGATTCCGACCGCATTCCACCTCAGACTACTCGGCCAAATCGAACGCTACTTCATCTCTGGATAGACGCGCACCATCCCACACTTCTCGTGATCGCACCACCGCCTTCATATTCGCATCGTTAACATCCTTCGTATCTTCATCCATTGCTAGTTCTATGCTTCTCAGGAAAAGGTGGCAAACTGTTTGGTGCTGGTCCAAGTCCGGTTGGATAGGACGCATACTCAGGACGCGCATTGGCGAGTAGTGCTCCCTGCATAAACCTTCCCCTCGATCCCTTTTATACGCTTCAACGCTTTTATACTTTTATTGTACATGTTTGCTCCAGTCCAGCTTCGGCGCTGACTTTCTTCACTTCTTTCTTTGGTTTGGCGGGGTCTACGTGCGTTTACGCTCCCGGTAGCGAGAGCTTTTCGAATAGATGAGCCGAGTTAACTGCACTTTCAGGGCGAGTTGGATGTCACTTTGGATAGAACACAATCATCAGCTCACGCTCTTCACATCATGCTATTGTGGAACCTAAGTGATGCTGTGCCCGTTGAAAGATGTACTCCCTTTATCGAATCTCAAGTTTCTAAGAAGCCATAACATCGCCCTCCTCCGCCGGAATTTCCGCCACCTTCTTAACCACCTTCGCTGGCTGTCCCATGACGACACAGAAATCCGGAACATCCTTTGCCACCACGCTCATAGCCCCTACTGTGACTCCCCTGCCAATCGTAACTCCAGGTAGGATAACCACATTCCCCCCAATCCAGCAGTCATCACCAATCACAACCGGCTTTCCATACTCGATATTGTCCCGTCGCGACTGCACCTCGATCTCATGCGTCGCGGCAAAAATCGACACATTAGGCCCGAACATGCACCGGTTCCCTATGGTAACAAGCGAGCAATCCAGAATAGTCAGGTTGAAGTTTGCGTAGAAACGTTTGCCTAGGGAAATGTTGCAGCCGTAGTCGATGTTGAAAGGGGGCTCAATGAAGATCTCATCGTCAGCCACATGGCCGATGATCTGTTTGAGCATCTTCAGGCGTTCTGCGGCGAGTATGTCGAAACCCTTGCTTTCGTCGGTTGTGGCGGGGTCGGGGAACCATGTGTTGTATTTGTGGGCGAAAGCGCGGGCTTTGAAGCGGGCGGCGTTTAGGGACGGGGTGAAGGCGTTGTAGCTGGGGTTGTGTCAGCATCCTACGGTATGAAAACATTTGCCTGCAGTCTACATGAAGATAATGCTAGATAGAGGAACATCTGGCGTTGATGTAGGCTTCACGGTATCTGGGTTTCCCTTTCAATAGTGTGTATGTTCATTTCTGGAAGAGAAGGCAGTGAGGTAGTTTGAATTCATCGCGGACAGTAGAATATGTATACATACAGCATACCCGAGATCATCTTCTCGTACTCCTCATCCCAGGGCACATGGTTGAGCTTCTTCGCCTTCTCTATCTCTTGCGTGTTCTTCTGCTGTGCAGCCATATTTAGACACAAATCGCGGGTGAGTTGGATGAATTGTTTATTCTTTCACTCTTTGTTGTTTCCTCCTCGTACTTATATGCAGTTGCAGTCTATACGATGTACGACGAGCTTGGAAATGACGCTAAGTGGGGTAAAAGGGAAGTCACCCCAGATGCAATGGGGCAATACCTCGCACTTTACCGCTCAGTCGAGTTCAGCTAGACCAAATGACCACACAGAGAGTCTGCGATTGCTGTTCTCACATCCCCGGTCAAGGCAGAGTGCTCCACAGATTCGGCGGCACGACTTCTGACCAGTCAGAGCTCTCCCGAACTTTTGCCTTGGGAAGCTCACTCGTGTCGTGTGCTTGGATGCATCATACCTGCGAATCGGCCCGATTGGGACATGTTCGTTTACTTCTAGTTTTGGAGATGCACTTTGCTGTGCAATCAGAGGTGAAGCAATGAGTGTGGTGTAGCTGCATGCAGTCCAGTTGCAACTGTTCACTTCATTTCAACGTTGTAAACTGAAAAGGTCCCGAACAAAGGGCTTGTCAGCAATTAGCTGCTTCACTATACTTAAGGACGAGCGGCCAAGAGTACACGGGTGGCTTGAATATGTGTCGCAGTTTGCAGCATACATAGTATTGATCTTAACAAGTAGATAGCCTCGATGGCAATGTATACACCTACTCTTATATACTCTTTGTATGAAGCATCACGAAATGTAGCCACCCCTAGTGGCGGTCTGCTCATGTTTAGTTCACGTGGGCATCTTGCCGCTCTGGAGCGAGCTTTCGTCATAGACTGGACAACACGCAGCACAACAACACAAACGTTCCGTATTGCAGTCAAAGAACAACAGCGTTAGGAAAAAGACTAGAATGTTGCAAAGCATTGTGAAACTATGTTGATCCGGGGAAGAGATCCTGTGGAATTCGCAGCACGGGCCGCCAAGATCCACTAGCGCAGCTCGCTTGGTGCACAATGGTCGATTTTGTCAACCAGCAACCCCCCCTTCTACTACGTGACTTTCGCGCCCGAATCATCGACAAGCCATCAACGACAATCAACCAAACCAAAAGACTCTCCATAAATCGTCACAATGGTGAGTTCGAGTTCCCGAGGGTCTGGACGGCCGCGCGAGAGGATTCTGAGCAGGCACACGAGACGCCCGGAGTTTGCCACAGCATCTTCAATTCGCAACCTCTTGCCGCCTCGCCCTGCGCAAAATTTATCTCAATGAGGACTTTGGACTAACAGCATCCTAGGTTCTCGCAGTTGACCTCCTCAACCCCTCCCCGGCCGCGTACGCATACATTCCCGCCCTTTCGCCCCCGACCTGCGACTAACAAGCGTGTAGTGAGGCCCGCAAGCACAAGCTCAAGACCCTCGTGCCCGCTCCCCGCTCCTTCTTCATGGACGTCAAGTGCCCCGGATGCTTCACCATCACCACCGTCTTCTCGCACGCCAACACAGTCGTCGTCTGCCAGGGCTGCTCGCAGGTCCTGTAAGTTTGGGACAAATGGATATGGGTACAGGGCATGGGCTAACGCATTCACAGGTGCCAGCCAACTGGTGGCAAGGCGCGGTTGACCGAGGGCTGCTCTTTCCGAAGGAAGTAGACGATTCGTCGATGTGATGACAGCGGGGATTGATGGGTTACGATGACGACTATCATGGCTTAGGGGTGTAGATCTCATTGGCGCCGATCGACTCGACCGCAGGATAGAAGAGGGATCTTTCGACTCGAGTCAATGCAAAAGTCACAAAAACGGGAGTTCCGGATATCTCAGCGCTGATGGACCACCCTTTTCCTCGAATCTATTTCCTTTTGTTCGGCATGGTCTTTCAGCTTTCATGTACATGCATGTGGGAGGAGAGATAGCATTTCAGAGCCTTTGGATCAGTCGTCCGAGGTGAGGACCGGCTTGCAATCGAGGATACCTACGCATGCTAGCGGTCCTTTGTAAATCAAGCGTCAATTCCTCACACTCGTTTCGCATACAAAGAAGTGATCCAACATTGTCTTGTGAATAACATGCATACGCCGGTTTTATGTTTATGTGGTGTACACTGACTTGATCAAGTTCCGTCTACGCCGAACACCAGGTTGTATACGGGTACTGTACCACCCCGCGTGGAATGGAAACGGTCACAACCTACTAGTATCGCAAAGAGATGTGCTTCTTACCTAGAAAAGAAGGACATCATTCTTGGCAGAATGATTCTGCTCTCCAAGTGGGGAAGCATGGCCGAGATCCCTACCCAGTTCATAGCACCTTCCCTACAAGCAGCCACATGACGAGCAAAACGCCGACCTCCGCCAACTTCAAGATTCCTACATAATAGGCGTCGATACAGCCACCTTTATCTCAAAGACCTGGAGGCAACGCCGCTGCATAACCGTTCGCCTAAAGTGCTTATTTCAATTAACGATTGGACACGAGTCGAGAACAAGCCACCCCACGTCATCGTCAATACTTCCACTCGCCCTCTCGTTCGCTCGCGCATCCGCGGCTCACGGTTCGACAGCCACTAAAATAGATCAGTGGACAATCACAAGATCAATAAACAAACATTTGCAAGCGCGTCGTTCAAAATGTCCACCTCATCCACACCAGGCGCGGGAGCTCCAACCAACCCCCACCCCATCCCTCTGACGGAATCCGAAGTTTTGATCCGCGGTTTCCTCGCCGCCAACCCGGATCTCTGCGACGACAAATCGAACCCCATCGACATAATGACGGATCGTTTTACGAACCAGGAATGGAAAACGCAAATTGATCAGACGATTAAGAATGTGTTGAAAGAGGTGGAAAGTGGAGAGAGGGCGAGGAAGGTTTACGAGGGCCCGCGGATGAGGAATGGAGAGGAAGCGCTGAAGCAGTTGGCTAAAACGGTGGATCACACGGTACTCAAGTTGGACGCGACGACGAAGATGATCGATGGGCTGTGCGGCGAGGCAAGGACAGAAAACTTCAAGGTATGTGCTTCTGCAGTTCTGGTGGTGTTTCTTCCGCATGAGGCACAGTCGCACCCTTAGAGTTTGGAGCTGGGACACGTGCTACATCTCACCGCTCCCGAGAAAAACCCAAGCTGACAAGATTCTCAGTCTGTCTGTGTTCGCCTGAACTATGTCCAACGCTGTGTCTCCAACCTCAAAGGCACCGACGTGCTTGTAGCCTGCGTTGTAGGCTTCCACGAAGGAACCCAAGACACTTACTACAAGCTGCGAGAAGCACGTGCCGCCGTAGCAGCAGGCGCGAGGGAACTCGATGTCGTCCTCAACTACTCCCTCCTCACCAAGCACAACCGACCGGTTTCTCCACCGTTAGAGCGTGCTCGTGACTCAGCAATCGACAGCATCACCGCTGCCAACACGGCCAAGAATGCTGGAAGCAGCAACGCCAGCGACTTTAGCGAGGAAGACTCAGACGAGATCCCAGACTACAGCGCCATTTACAGAGAACTGGCTAGCATACGAAGCCTCTGCCCTGCCCCCACAACACTCAAACTCATCCTCGAAACTTCGCAATTGAACTCCGCGCAGATCCTCGCTGCATCTCATCTTGCCGCTGCTGCTAGCTTCGACTTCATCAAGACATCCACTGGCTTCAACGGACCGGGCGCTAACCTGCCCAACGTGCAGCTTATGGTGGCCGCGGCGGAGTACCTCGCATCGGCCAAAATAGGCAAGAAGAAGATGGAGGTCAAGGCGAGTGGTGGGGTCAGGGACTTGGACACGGCAGTCAAGATGCTGGAGGCTGGTGCGACACGGCTGGGAACTAGTTCTGGGTTGTGGATTATGCAGGAGGCAAGGGCCAAGGTGGGCGAGGAGAGGGTTGCGGCTGGGCTGTCGTTGGAGGGGAAGAGACCTAGCCCGCAGACGCGGTTGTATACCGATGATTCTGAGTACTAGTATTATGCAGTAGGGAAGAGCATATCGAGATATAGTGATCGAAAGCCGGTGTTGTGAGAAAGTATTGACGCTTGTCGATTGCTTGAGTTGCAATGTGTGCATGTGGTAGGGTCAAGATATGGGAGGTATTAGGCTCATCAATAGTTTAATGCAAAGTGCAGCGAGCTGATCAAACGTTATGCAGCTTGGAGTTTGCCAACGACTCAGCCATAGGGCAGACCTCGTTGCAAGAGCGTCAGTCAGACCACCTCATACAAGAAAAAAACTAAACAGGTCGGGAGCCTACATCAACGTCAGGCCACCTACTTTGCATGTTTTTATCTTGATGTAGGCTCCACAGTGTCCGAACTTTTCCATGAATGAGGTGAGATTGTCACCTTATACAAGAAAGAACTGAGTAGGCCTGCAGCCTACACTAGGGCAACAACAAGCAAGTGACAAGACGTAGCATCAATGTAGGCTGCAGGGTGTTGTAAGATCCTATAAACCGTACGTGGACAAACATCATTTACATTCTCACGGGCATTGTAAGTGAACTAAGACAGACGATGGCAGTTGAAAATTTTTGGGCAGTGTCTACGTGAAGTATATGTAGATCATCCACCAGCCGAGACCCACAAGGGATATAGTGCTTTCCAGGACAGGATGACTATCAAAGAGATTCATCCCATCGTGCCTAACGCCTGTCGTCCATGAATCATTCCTTTTGGCGTCAAGTCTACTCCTCGTCCTCCTCGCCGGCGTCCTCGTCACCACCCTTCTCGGCGGCCTTGGCCTTCTTCCTCCTGACACGGCCAGGGCGGCCGCCACCGAATGGCGAGGTCAGAGCGAAGTCGATGTGCTTCTGGGAGTCGAGGCGGACCATGAAGGAGGGGACGTTGACGATCTGCTTGCCGACACTGTGATACTGTTAGTCGCGCGCTTCTTGAGCGAATGCGGGCGGATGCATACCGGATGTGGCGCTGGCGGATCAGGACACGAGCGTGGTGGATGGACTTGGCGAGGCCGAGCTTGTAGACGCAGGTCTGGAGACGGCGCTCCAAGAAGTCCTCAATCTTAAGGGCCAAGACGTAATCGAGCTTCATGCGGGACTCGTCAAGGACACCGACACGCACGAGACGGCGAATGAGAGCGTTACCCTCGAAGAGACGCTTGGGGTCCTTCTCGTCAAGAGTAAGAAGCGAACTGCGAAATGTTAGCAACTTCGCATCTCGCAGACTGCGCATCAATTGCGCGCAGACGAGAACAATGAGCACTCACCGAGCGGCACGACGGATCTTGGACAGAGTCAACTGGACACGCCAGACCTCGCGCTTGTTGCGGAGACCATACTCGCCGACGAGCTTGAGCTCAGTATCCCTAACCCAACATTAACTTGTGTCCCAGACATAAGCGGAGCACGCTCTCGCTCAGTGGCCATGGGGTTGCACATACAGACGAGCGGACTCGAAAGGACGACGGGGGACGCTGTACGTCTTGGAGTAGGATCGGGGAGGCGCCATTGTGGTTGTCGATGGTTGAGTCTGCGATAGAGAACGACAAAAAGATGGTCAATATTCGGTGTTTGCGTAGCGAGAGCGCATGTGGGTCTTTGCCAAGAGCACCCGATTGGTCGAATGCGCGGACCACCGCACACTGCCTCGTTTCTGCCAAATTCAAGCACTCCGCCATCAACAACAGCTCAGCTACTAACCACCAGCCCAACTTCAAACACACAATGGGTCACGCAGCCGGTCTCCGCGCGGGTACGCGCTATGCGTAAGTTGGAATGATTGCGACTCTCCCCATGCGACCGAAGGACCAGACCGCAGTACCAGACCGCAGTCTGAACCAAAGGCGCACTCTATTCATTCATTCGGACGATTGCTGACGCTGCGACAGTTTCTCTCGCGACTTCAAGAAAAAGGGAATGATCCCGCTCTCGACCTACCTCAAGCAGTACAAGGTCGGTGATATCGTCGATGTCGTAGCCAACGGTACGAAACCCCAGATCCACAGCGAAAGCGGTTGAAGCGGAGGACTTATGCGAAACAGGTGCCGTCCAGAAGGGTATGCCCTACAAGGTCTACCACGGCAAGACCGGTATCGTCTACAACGTCACCAAGTCCGCCGTCGGTGTCATCCTCCAGAAGCAAGTCGGCAACCGATACATGGAGAAGCGCATCAACGTCCGCATCGAGCACGTCCGCCACTCTCGTTCACGAGAGGACTTCCTCAAGCGCGTCAAGCTCAACTTCGCCAAGCAACAAAAGGCCAAGGAGACTGGCGAGCCCCAACAGATGAAGCGCCAGCCCGCACAGCCCCGCGCCGAGCACATTGTCTCCCTCAAGGAGCAGAAGCCGGAGAACATCACACCCGTACCTTACGAGACCTACATCTAGACGTGGAGAGGTGGCTCCGGGTGGATTGGCTGGCAAAATGGGATACGGATGGTCAACGGCGTGGTTTCTCGGACTTCTCGATTATTCTCCTTCTGCACTTTCTTACGCATGGAAACCGGCGATATCATGGTGCAGATACAGTGGTGTGCCAAAATGGCTTTGAGTGACCCCTCACGCCAATAAACATCATCCTCCAATCCCAGTACATGCAGTTTCTTGTGTTGAAGTGTGAAGTCCTACCGTAATCGCCGCACGAGTCGCTCCATCAACTTCTACCATCTGCAGTCTTCAGTCGAGACCAAACCCTTCACGGAACGACTTGGGCGTGCATCTATGCACATGGGGGGTAACGTCAGTTAAGAATAACGAACAGGTCTACATTGCCTCAGCAGTTTTATGAACGCTCTGTCTGGTAGGAATGTAGACTGCGGTACACCCGTTTAGTTTCTTACTATGTTCCCAACATTGTCTTTATGAAAGCTTACTTCTATAGCCAACGCCTGCCATTGCCATCCTCACTGAGTGCTAGAAGCGCGCTATGACATATTACTCTAGTCTCGCCTCATCTACATACGACATGTTATCAAGCAGCATACTGTCAGACTTTCAGCCATCGCGATCGCCAACATGAACCACACGTACCAGCATAGCTTAACCCTGTACGTCTAGGCGATAGATGGTACGTGTCATGTAAGGTAAGCGATCAGTATGCTTTCTCTCGCTCGCTTGACATAATATCTAGGTACCCTTTGTTTTGTCGGGATGACAACCCGGACCACTGCAAACACTTCCCAAGACACACTCTTCCTCACCCCGATCAAGGGCGAAACTGAAAAGAGGTCTGTCGAATACTTTAGTGCTGAGACGAAAAAGAGCAAATTCCGAATGCAATGTAGACTTCCGGGTCATTCACTGCTGCTACTGGCTGTAGGTAAATGTGCATCTTTTCCCTTGGATGGAGTGGCCACTCTTCAAGTCGGCGTTCATTTCGTGCAACACAAGGAACTCGCCCGTGATACGAACGATACGAAAAAAATCAATCGATCTGGACCTCGGTACTGCTTAGCGTAACGCTGTCCTGGAATTCGGCGAGCACTCCGTCGTTCGTCGGGATTACACTAGGCGTAAGGTTTCGCGAGGAGCCTCGCACCGCACTCCGAGTGTCTACTAAGAACTTCGCAAGGTTACTACTTTCGATAACGTGAAACGTGGAACGGATGTTGGATTGACCGGTCACATTTTTACTCCGAATGTATGCGTATGTACTTTCGCGTGAACACTAGGTGGTAGAACATGGGGGACGATATGTATTGTTCTATACAGTACTGCGCTTTTATATGATGCTAATACACTAACACATCGTGGTGTGGTAGACTAGAATCGGACAGTGTACGTTTGAAATTGTAGTTGTTTTGTATTCGGGTATCTCAATGCTACCTCTTGGTAGACAGTGTAGTGCAACATAGCTTGGAAACAAAGGAAACAGGAAGTCGCGCCAGTCCAACGCCTACGCTTTTCGTGCTGAACAAACGATAGTGTACAAGTAGTATCGAGTCAAGGTAGGGACAACGGGGTCGGTGTGTAGTGCAGTTGTTTCTGCGAGCAACGGGCGTGGTCACTTGGAGGAGGACCAGGCCAAGGGTGAAAGTATACCCGTCTCATGACGGCCTTCGACTGTATTCATCATTCCAGTCTTTCGACCGTGGCCTTCCTGCTTCGAACTCTTTGTCGTCAGTAGTCTCCACCTGCACACTTGTTTCGGTGACAATACTGATGCCGTGCCCTGTGGGCGTGTTTTTGATTATCGAATCTTGTGATCCTGCTCGTGTTGGACTATCGTCCTCGTGTAGCGTGTCTTCGAGTCGTGACCGCGTTGTGTAACTGCGCCCGCGGCGGTGGTCCACTATTCGTGACAGCCTGTTGCTGCCACCTACTATGGTGACGGTGCGGGCAGTGGATGTGAGGGGTTCTTTGTTGCTCATGGAATGTAGGCCGTAATGATTGTCGTCGCCTGGTCGTGCTGCGTTCGTGAGGGTCGCAGTGACAGTTCTGTTGTAGTGCCCTGTGCTCAAGTCTCCGGAGACTAGAACCCGCCGTGTCAAGGTGTACAAGAGCGCATCGATCCAGCCGCACGATGTGAGAAGCGAGCCAGCCACGACGTAGAAGAGTTCTGGCATTTGATGACCGGTCATCGCTACCATGCGACCCACCGCTATGGGCAATGTGAGGAGGACGTATACGAAAGGGTACATGACCATGAACTTGGTCGCGCGCGTGAGCTTGCTAGTATCGTTCGCGATGATGCTCCGGATGCGACCGCGGAGGTGGAAGAAGACATGGGCGTAGATGATGATTGTTCCGAACTCTACGATGAAGATCCACAAGTAGTGTAGCCAAAGCCTTTCTTCTTGGTAGTTGTGGGAAACCCAGCACTACTGATAGTCAGTCCAAATAGTTCCTGGGTACACGGAAGTCGGAGAGGGATAGGCTTACCCATCCTGCAGCACGAGCGAAGTATCGCTCCTGGTAGAGCGCCGGTCCAAGCACCGTGAGAAACAATGCAAAGGCCCAAATCGAGAGGATTGACACCACAAACCAAAAGTATGGCATTTTGTATCC